TTACTTGCCCCGGCCTAAGATTGTCGTTTCCTGAAAGTAAAATTATGACCAGTTCCTTCAATGTGCACCACAGGCCGAGAGTTTGGGTCTGATCTCCGACTTTCAAATATGTGCTCGTTTGGATAAGTCTGCGACCTTCCTCCAGTTTGCCCAACGTATTTGCTGTCCCCGTCATTGCAACTAAGGTCGTAGGAAACATACGAGATTTCAGTGAGTAGCAGGGTGTCCTTAGGCTGCATAAAACGGTAAGGGACTGTTGCCTGTAGCTGACGGGCTATACCTACCTACGTTGGCAGGACGTCCAGTTTCATTACGTACGGAAAGAGCAGGACAAGAGAATCAAACAGAACTTTAGAAAACCGCGCAAACGCGGAGCGACGACGAAGTCATTAGACAGGGAGATAAGGAACCGCCAGACCGAACAACCCGGCAGAGTCCCAACCAGCCCCCAATCGATTCGATGGTCTATAACGCACGCAGTTGTCAAGCTAGACAAACATCCACCAAAACGAGGAAACAGCAAAATATGAAAAGGACGGTCAGCCCAAGATCGTTTAACACCTTGACACTGGTGGACCGGACAAGTTGCCGAAAACGTCAGCAATCCAATAAATCCGTTCCGGAGAGTTTTTCCTCTTTTTCAAAAAATATTAAAAGTTGCATGGAATTCATTTTTACCCATCTGACCTAGTTGCAATTACTGAATTTATGTGGAACACTGGTGATTACAGCCTTGGTTTAGGGTTCAACTAGGCGGTCGATAATAATTGTTAATAACTGACTGCCCCTGGCTATACTATCGTCAGAAATAGAATCAGATCAAACCTTCCGGGCAAAAATTCACAAATCCTATTGCCTGCGGCGTTTGAGCCAGAAAACCAATCCCTGGTAGTAATCACTCCCAGCTCTTAACTGTTATACCTCCATGGACGCATGTTAACTCACCAAAATAAGAGGCTTTTTCTGTTTTGACTAAACACTGCGAAACATTTAATCCGCGTAAGCAAGAAAATGTACATTTCTAAAAGAAAAACACATGATTTTGCCAACTTCGCACTCAGTCCGATCGCCTATGGTGTCGAAAATCTGATTTACAGTTGGGTTTTAGATAGAGGCACGATTAACTTGCATTCAGTTTGGAACTTTAAGGATTGCGGCACCTGGAGAAACATGAATTTCGCTAATTTAGGATCACTGATCACCGGTCAAGAAGCCGCACTCTCATTGGGCACTAGATACTATCATTATCACATCCGACAGAGTATGGGCCCCTGACTCGCTGGTAGAGTATTTTACTTCAACACCCTATTGGCCCCACATCTAAACCTCGGGTTTCCTCCTCCTCTGGAGTGAGGGTCGTACCCCTAACCCGAGGCACGCGGTAGATGCTTTGAACCAACACAGGGGCTACATCGGATTCTGGCGGACATCCTCGGAAATGCGTACCCATAACAAATTCCAATAGGCGGGGTACGGTGGCAGACCTAGTTGCAGACTTGCGCAGTGCAAACTGGGATCCCTGTCGCCTTCCTTTCGTTGTTGTTAGATAAAATCCTAGTCAAGTGTTTGTTGTGGGCCCGGGGGTGTGGTGGTACGCCCAAATGCGGGTTTCGCCGTGTCGACCACCTGCGCCCTCCCGCCTTCCGTCTTCTTGACTTGATTATGAGGCCGGATGCAGGTGGAGGAAGGAGGAGGAGGAGGAGGAGGAGGAGGGAGTGCGGTAGATGCGGGACAAGTTTGCTATCACTATAAACTATTTCACGCGCAAGTCAACATCCCTGCTATTAGCTCGCTGTGGGGGACACGGTGGGCATCATCGAAGTCGGTGATCGACCTGTCGCATCAAGTGTATATTGTCTTAGTAGGGAGGAATGAGAATCTTGAAACGTTATGTGTGTCTAGTATCTAAGATACATCGTGTCTTTATGTAATGATAGGGTCAAAGGCTTCGTGAAACTAAAACGGGATGGCGTACAGAGCTTAAAAGATAAATTTGCCGCCTCGCAGATGTCGCGTGGCATTGTTGGAAATTCGGTTCCTCGAATACAGTGGGATAGCATATTGAATCTCGAGTCCACACCCTCGCTTAATCAGTGGTTTTCAGGTTACAAGTACCGCATCAGATGGGCTATGAGCAGAGTGTCTGTGTTTAATGCGACGACGACGACGAAGGAAATTGTGTTCGAGAATATGACTGCAAAGACAGCTTGATTATCTACATTGTACCGATCGTATGACATTTGACCGGCAGGAATAGAATTAGATCGGATTTAGGCCAATCAGCTGTCTAAAATATAAGTCTGCTTTGAAGAGATCATCCGAACTTTATCCCTGATTCTCAATGGCCTGAAGACCCAGACATGTTTCCTCGAAAGGTCACCACAGGTTCACGGGGTCACGTTCTCGCTTAGTCCACAAACCGGGCAGATCGGCAAATGCTTTATCCACTTGCCTGAATTATAGTCCCGCTTTATCGAAGAAATAACAGACGAAAATTCCATTATGCGTGTTGTTACTTGTCCTTGCTAAATTCACGGGCCTGTTTTTTCTCGATTATTTCTGTGTTTCAACCTGTCAAGTCAGAATCAAATGCAGTATTCCAAACAAGGTTTGTTACATCTTCGCCAGTTCACGCTTCAAAATCTCAGAATGTACCGCCCCAAAAGGGACCAGATCCTAGGGACACTTTCTTAAATGCAACACGTCTGTCATTTGAAACAGTCGATTTTCCACTTCTATAATATTTTTTCCTTTTTGTTACTTTACTTTTACCAAATTAGTAAACTCAAATATTTTGCTTTCACAAGCGTTTTGTGTGATGAGGTGGTTTTATTCCACCTTTTGTTGTCAGGTCATAGGAGTGGCTTTTCCAATTGAGGGATCGCCTTTATTTCACTGTTTTTATTCTTGCCTAGTTTTACGTAGTAAACGTACTCGACAGTTAAACATCAAGAAAATACTGTTCTTTAAAAAGTTTATTCCATTAAAATACAGAATTTTTATGTGGTTTAATAAAGGACAGTTTTTGTACAGTTTGCATCGTTCAATTGGAGTTGGAGTTTTCCTTGGTTTTTTGCGTTGACGATTTTGGGCGTTTTGGTTGCGTAAGCAAGGATGTTGCGCCCAGCATGGGACATATGGGACCCTGACAAATGGACTGATCTAAAATATAAATATATAATGCTTTAGTTCAGCTATGATCCTGAACTTCAGAGTTCGTGTGCCCTCTGTCAAACACATCAGCACTCGTAAAGAGGACAGTATTTTTAAAAAAAAGTCCTATGTGTCATTAAAATCTGGGCCTCTGATGAAAACTCAGCGGACTGACGCATTGGTCTGACGCCCGCGTACTGAATCTTGGGCAGTTACCGCTAGGGCAGCGACATTGGCTAAGGACTCCTTAAAACCGTCCTTTTTTTATTGCTCCTGCCACTTCGGATGCAGGATGTCTGCACGAAATCGAAAATTCGGGGAAAAATAAACAAATGCCCCCCCCGATGCTGAATTTGCCTCTTTCTCTCTTGCTAATGCACTTGATGGAAACCGGCCTCCCTGGAAAGTAAGGGTCTAAACACTTGAACAATTGAGCGAAGGTTTTAGGCATGACTGTAAGCAAAACAAATCCTCTTAAATGTGGCGACATTGCTGAGAACTTCATATCCGTCTTCATGCTGGCTTTCCGCAGAACGTTATTCAAAAAATTTCAGAAAACCCCAGAAAAATAAAAATCAAATATTTGGACAAAACATATCTCAATATTTTTTCATCACCTGGTATAATCATAGCCAGATATAATGGCAATTTCCAAAACATAACATTATCTTAAATTTTATAATTCAGAAGGGTGAAATATATCGGTTATAAGGAAATTTGTCGTTATGCTATTGTGAGAACATCTTGCTTGATTATGCGCGTATTTTAAGAGGTTACGTTTTAGGAAGTATGACATGTTTTTTGTTGTATGTTACATATATTAAGTCTTTTAAGGAGCCTTTCCGTTTAAATCTGGAAAATACGGAAAAACATATTTTGGATGGTGCATATTCTACATACTTTGTGAAACTTTTGAATATGCGGGGTGTCAAAATATATATAAAGATGTGAACTATGGAAACGAATATTTCCAGCCCATTTTCCAGCGCTGTCCAGCCATTTTATGTTTTAAAATAACGCGAATTACGCGGCCTGTTTAAGCCAAAATAACTCCAAATGTTAGGTCTAACATTTTTTATTACCCAATACTAAGACTGTAAGAAATAAGTCCTTTGACCATACATTAATATATCTTATGTATAAGCTGAGGCGCTAATATCATTATGCGACTTCGTTCTCTTTTTGTTAACTGCTAAATTGGTTAAACTACCTGGCGCTGCAAAACAGGTTTAAAAAAGTTATCTAAGTTATGTTCTATTTTAAAAGGTTGTTTCATGTTGTCCACAACACCATGGGGTGACTTTATTATAGCAACAGCAAATTTCATTCCCAAATTTTCCGTTTAATTGTGTCTTCTCAAAGGGATTTCCTTCTCCTACTTGAGGTCATTTTAATAAGCTTTAATGTCTCGGAGAAAATTCTTCTTAGCAAGTGAAATGTGAACGTCACCAATTTTCTTATTCGATCTCTGTTTAAATGCAAATCTGCTCTAGGCTAAATGACTCCACCCAATCATCTTGGCAGAATGGTTGTGTACTTGAGTCTTGCTGATACGGTTTCAAATTACTGACTCACAGAATATGTACGTGATGGCCATATCCATGCCATATCTGTTCTCCGCCATGCAGGTGTAGTTTCCGTAGTCGCCCTGACGTATGTTTTTAACAACCAACAGAGATATTATATCCGTCACCTACGAAGCACAGAGAGAAAAAAAGGGAAGGCACCGATTCAGTTGAACAGAACCCAATTCTCGTTAACGGGGCAAAAAAGGTATTCATCTCCATACAGGATTCGCTCGAACAAACGCAACTCATGCGCGATTCGGCTGTCAGCCTTCGTGCAGCTGACGTTGAAAGTCGGGCCATTTGTTTAAGATGTGTGCCTGTTTCATCTGCCTGATAAAACTTAATTGATAGCAGTTGACCAGTTGAAAAGATATGCTTCGGAAACATCTGATATGATTTTTCCCCGTGTTTACGTAGAGGCTTGTTATGCCCTCTAGTCGTGCGCAAATAGCGCACGTCTTATCAGATTCTTTGGGATGAGTAATTAGAGTTCTTGTGAATGGGTTTATTGCCTGCACTGATGATATCATGCTTTGATATAAATTGGGGTTTTGTTTTAGAACAAGCAGCATGGACTGAGCGGCATGCACATGCAAAACGATACCGTGCAGTTTTGGTGTCCTTTTTTTAAAACAGAACATTTTTAAACACTTGGTTAGCTTATACGAAGTGTTGAGAGCATTTTGTTCAGTTAGGTTAATTTTTCAGAAGAAAAATGAAATAATTGCTACTGGCAAATCTTTTGGGCCGATTTTCGTTGTTAGTCTTTTCTGGAAAACATTTGTCAGCTAAATGTCTTCCTGTGCTAAATGGTGTTGTCCTGATTGGTCCTGTTTTTTACCTTCAACGTTTCAGACGATATTAACACCGAAATTCTGCGATATCGGTAGTAGCATCTCAAATGCGCTATCGAAAACTGTTAGTTCAGGCCCTGGGCTATCCGATCGTCCGGACTAACCATTTGCATCGTCTCCGGATGAATCGGTTGTTAGGTTATCCGTAGTCGACCTCGGACTGGTCCCCATTAAACTGACCAGGACCAACCCACGCTGGTCTGCGTGTAAGTAGCAACGTAGGACCTGACAAGCCTAGGGGCAGGAGACGTTCCGGCTGATAGGAATCGCATTAGCAAATCACATCTCCAGCTTCGGTCGTTCTGTCATTCTCGACTAATTTGAAATCCCCGTCAGTGCAGTCAAAATCTGGAATTTCTGAGAATGGCGTCGAGTTCACTGATTGCATCACAGAGCACCGAGTGAGAAATTGCAACCTGTGGACCATGAACTGTGGGTTCTTGCAATGAGTAAAAACCCCTGCTTTTTAAGAATTCGGTCGCCTATCTTATTTTTCCACACTGAACTCATTTGATAGCTTCAAATCAGCCGGAGCTGAGACAAAACAACGACTTCCAACTAGGCGTCTATATGTGCGTATGTATGTATTTCGGTGAAAAAGACCCTCAAAAACCAAGTTTAGGACAGGTTATGAAGTTTCCCTAGGGTTAGGTTTGAGTTGCTGCATTTCTGGTAGTAGTAGTTGTTGTTGTTGTTGTTGTCCTGTTTTTCTGCCCCACGAAGTGTCCACAAGGACCACTGTGCGTTTTGAATGCCCATTAGCAATGTAGACACATTGGAAGCCGTTGAATACTGAGACCTGCTCTCAGTTTCCCGCCTCTGCCTTCTTGATTCACGCTGACCTCCTGCATCCTAGGTCTGGGGACCCGGTTTCACCGAAGATTTCAACACTTGACGATCTTGTCCTAGAAATTCCCTCGAGTTGTGCTTAATTTTCAAAACTCTAACTGCCATTGGACGGGCGTGGTACCAACTAGAGGACTTTTCCATAGGCTAAGGTCTAACATTCTTAACTAGCGGGCGCTTCATCGAATTTGCATTGTCAAGGTGTCAAGTATACCGGTCCCTTCCTGGGCCTGGTTATCCGAGATTCGTTGCTGTCCCTCATATTCGGAGTACCCGAAGACTCGTAAGGTGAAAGTGGTAGAGCATCCTCACCTAACACTAGTATACATTCCAGATTTGAGTAAACTCTCGATAACTATTTTTGAGGTCATGTGTCCAACTTTGAAGGTCTTAGGCCTTCTTCTATTTTACAAATGACCGAAATGCGATTATATGCGAATTAGGGTCCCAACAGCATTACTATTAATGTCCTTACACACATATAAACTGCTATTCCGGACCAATAAGGTTTTTTTCAATAACGTGACGTTTCCATCTATGGAACAGTCAGACGCAAGACATGGTTGGGATACGGCTTTCGGGAATTTTAAGAGGAAAGATAAATAGACTGATTTGAGCGCAGCTCACAACCAATCAAATAATCGCAAATACATTTTATACTCCACATTTTGAGAGCAGGCCTCTTGCCTCGCGCATCAGGGAGATCGAAGGGAATGGAAAGTCATGTTCCCGGTAAGACAAGAAAATATGGACGCCCTGTAATACAAGTGACCTTGTGCTAAATTTCTGGAAGGGTATCTAGTTCTGTATTCGGACCTCAAGCCTAATCTCCATGGCATTTAACGCGAGACCACCTGTAATACGGGAGTTCTTATCCCGTGTTTTGCCTTGGCTTGAACAGCCTACAGCAGATATGCTAACTCGCCAAATGTTCACAAAAACACTGAATACTTTCTCGACTCGAAAAGGTTACTTAAATAGGGCGGTAGGACAATTGTGTGTAGCCTGGACTGTGCAAGGCGAAGGAGGGGTTCCTGTCTTACGGGATCGGTGGGAAGGGGGGTTTTTAGGGTGGGGTAAACGGGGAACCCATCAAGGAGTTAGAAAAAAAAGTAAAAAAAGAGGTTTAGAAAGAAAATAATAAAGTTTGTTTGAGGTGAAAATGTGCCGAAAATTCAAAACCTAAGCCGTAACCAATGGGAGCAATATACCCAAGGCCAAGGCCATTCGGCTGAAGGTGCCCCATACAATACTGCCACTGAGGATGAATCCTGGTCAAATGCCAACGACAAGTAGGGCGGTGGAAAATGAACCCGAAGAACGGTAAGTATGAATGCAAAATACGGAGGACGGAAGCCGTATTTATTAATTTGTTCAATAATTACCAAACGTTTCCCACTTATAGAAGGGTGACAGCAAAGGAGAAACGTAAGGCCGCTCCGCAAGCTAATAATGCCATCGGAGATTGAACAGATTCTGGATATTATCCAGTCCCCATATTTAGTGCAATAGTTACAAGCTAAACGAGTCATGGCGACAGAAGCCAGATGTCGCTGTCGTAAACCGATGCCGTTGCGAATATTGCGTCAGCACACAGACGGGTTTGCCGTCAGGTACACGAAAATATTAATATAATGCATTGCCTAGGTGTAACAAATGTGGTACCAAAAGGGCACTGAGAACTGGTTCGGTGTTTAAGGATAGTCGCCTGACTTTATCGAAGGTCCCATGTGGCTGAGGCCTATCCAGTCTCAGAAGAGCACTCGGAAACCGAGATATGTAGCAGCTGACCGGAAAGGTAAGCAGTGAGATGTTAATGATGTTGTACACATAGTGCAATAAAAGCAGCCAGTGGAATAACAGCCGGGGAGAACAACTGAACGGCCAGGCAATGGACATTTTGGCCACTGAAAACTGGTACAACGGAAACAGTTTGTAATTCTTTCATATTCCGCACTGAAATAGTGAATTCCTTACTATACCTCTCAACCTTGTTTTCCCTTTTGTCCCATAACCCCAGCAGAAAATGCGCCAACGGGGATTGAAATCGTAGTATTTGAAGGGATTGATGAAAAACCTATGAACACCCTAACTGCCGATCATGACCAATCGGAAGGCAACTTCGTAAGTACGCTGACCGTCAAACCGATGAATGATGTACGTATAACAGGAAAGCCAAACCTACTGGTCACCGCAAGGCGACCAAACCGCCCAACCACACGGGCGTACGTAATCGACCGAAGCGCAAGGGGAAAGCGAGCGAAAGAGACCACAAAGAAACCCCGAGGGCCGGGTGGATACCTAAGCCCGTGAAAGTGCAAGGCAAGGCCAAACCCCTATGGTTGGGTAGCTGTTCCAAGCGGGCTGCGGTTGGGTGTAGGGAGGGGAAGTGAGCCGTACGGCAGGCAAAGAAAGCAAACGGCAAGCGGCCTTAGGAGACCGCACAGGAAGCCAGCAACCGGGTTTAACGCCTGTACGGCTAAGCCATGAAGGGCTAGTGCAGCCCCTGAAGTATGTAGAAAGGGCAGGTGCACTGGCGGGGCAGACCTGCACCGATTAAGTGCACCCAACGCCTACGCGCCTAGCCAACTCACGCGGTAGCCGCATGGAACGCGGTATGGGAGCCCCCCCCCCCGCAATCGAATACAACGGGGCTGTTTCTTAAAAGGGGGGGGTGAAGAGTAGCGATCTGTTAACACGACTGAAGCAGCTCGCAATTAGAAGGACAATGGAAAACGTGTTGAATCGCAATTCGCAAAGGTTAAGTCTTTCGCCTTTTACTAAAGATTTCCGTGTGGGGGGTGCAACGCAATGAGCCCATATAGACAGTCTTGCAGCGCCTCGCTCTCGGGGAGGTTAAGGTGAAGGAGAAATTAATCCTGACAGAGCCTCTACGCCAAATCAAGCAAACGTAGCTGGAGTACCCAGTCGTAGTAATGTAGCATGCGCGCTAAGTGGCCGATGAGCGGGAATGTGAACGTGAGCAATAACATGAAGGAATTTACAGCATAACCGCCCTTCCTTCGTTCAATTGGCAGCTGTAAGTATATGCGGGAGGAATGGCAATGGCAACACAGCAGCAGACAAGGTATCCCAAAGCGAGGTCGAATACATTACACCCGCGCGGCCGACACGCCTGAAATATGTAACTTAATAAAAGCACGTCTACTGATAGGAAGCAAGTACGTCAACAATGTTGACTCATAATCCCAGGCTACTCAGAATTGTCTCGCCAATAGGGCTGTAATATTAACCATCGTGTAGTATGATCCCATGTTAATTCAGTCACTTCGGGATGTCAGCTTTTGAATAAGCGTCGTTCAAGCCGTCTGCAAAAACAACAGACTTTAAAAACAACTACTTAATTAGTATGAATTTTTCTTACTGATTGTCGATGCCCTTATACATTTAAAAGTAGTTCTTAGAAAACACAAAAGATGTTTATTCTTTCACTCATTTAATAGGAAATTACTTCGTCCCCAAATTTTATGCTTAAAGGAAGGGTATGATCCGGTTTTAAAAAGTTCCTAGTTATAGGATTATTAATACCGTGAAATGCCCGTTCATAAAACATCGTGTCACTGCATATATGTTGCTTGTGAAGTTTACAATATGGTCCAAATCCACTGCTAAATTTCATGAATCCCATATAGTCTTCTCTTAATACCGTATAGAAATGAATGATTTTCCGTATACAGAAAATGTACAGCTTGTAGCTTGGAAAGCCTGAATGCAAGTGTAACGGCAGGTCGGGTTCACAATAAATCGGGAATAAGAAAGGTTTTTTAAAGCAAATTATACCCTTCCTTCAAGTATAAACTTTGCGAAAAACGTAATTTTCTACGAAATGAGTGAAAGAATTATTATTTTCATGCACTTTGTCTATGAAATATGATTATATTTATGAGAGCAACGAAAATAAATGAGAAAAAACATACTACTTAAGCAGTCGTTCTTATACAGTGTAGTTTTTGCACGCGGTCGCAAAGACGTTAGTTCACAGCCCTGCATCCAGAAGTGGCTAAATTATCATGGGATTAAACTACAAGGTGATTAATATTACAACCCTTTCTAAGTAATCCTTTCGGGTCCGAAACGCATTTCAGAATTTAAGCCGACATTTCATGAGTTAGCACATCTGTTGTATTAGCTCCGAACGCGCCAAACAAGCTCACTGCCGCTCATTCCGTTAATCCGCCGCGATTGCGAGATAAATTTCACAGACTGCAGAAGAATATTGGCCTTATCGAAAAAAAAGTCTGAACTCTGAGCTAGTTCGCAAATGAAAAACGTTCTTTCTATGGTTTGGCTGCCGTCATTTCCTGCCGGGCAGGTTTTTTAAGAGAATGCGTTATTTTTGTGATACAGATGACTTGATGACACGCCCAACCTTTAACCTACCGCGGCCTAGCCCGACAGCTATGGAAATCAATCGGATATGTCCTCTTCCTGAGTCGCTTGGTGAACCTGCTGTTGTCTTAGGGAAGCTAGGAGTTCAGTTCAGTCAACTCTACACGAAACAACATGGTAAATTACTGTGGGTGGGTTAACTCATGAAATATCAACCGAAATTCCGAAATGCGTTTTCGTTTCGAAAAGATTAATTAAGTAGGGTTGTAAAACTAGTCAGTCTGCAACATAATTCTATAATATGTCAGTTACCACAGGATGCCGGCTTTCGACTGAACTTCCTTCCGGCTGCATGCAAAAACTATACTCTGTAAAATATGACTACATATGTAGCATGCGTTTTTCTCTTTGATTTTCGATGCCCCTAAAAGTCCGATTATATTTCATGGAAAACATGCACAAAAATATTTATTTTTTCTCATTAGGTGAAGAATTACCTCTTCCTTTAATTTTTTGCTTAAAGAAAAGGTAAAATTCGGTTTTCAAAGACCTTCATAATTCCCGAATAGTTTTGAACCCGCTCTACCGTTGCACTTGTATTCGGGGTTTCCAAACTATAAGCCGTTCATTTTCCGCGCACGGACCATATAGGGTTCATAAAATTAAACAGTGTATTTAATTCATATTGTTAACTTTACAAGCTGCATTGGCAAATGCAGAGATATAACGATTTGTGAACGACCATTTCACGGTATTAAAAAGTTCCACAACTAGAAACTTTTATAACCGATTTATGTTCCTCCTTTGGGTGCAAAATTAGAAGAAGTTTTTTAGCGAATAAGCAAGAGAATTAATATTTTTATGCATGTTTTCCATGAAATATAATGGCATTTTCAAGGGCGCCAAAATCAATGAGAACATTGCATGCTGCTAAAGTAGTCATTTTTGCAGAATATTGTTCTTGTATGTAGCCGGAAATAAGTTTGTTCGAAATCCGGCATCTTGAGGCAACTGAAATATTATAGAATTATGTTGCAGGCTGACTAGTTTTACAACCCTACTTAATTAATCTTTTTGAAAAGAAAACGCATTTCGGAATTTCGGTTAACATTTCATGAGTTAGCCGACCTACTGTACTTCTTTTTATTTAATCACCTATTCCCCAAATCTCCGGCAATTTCTATTTGTCGCTGCTACAAATGGGTTCCTTCGTTTCTTCTGCACTCAGCGTATTGGATGTCGACGGCCAGGAGAGAATTCACGTATTTGCTGCCTGACTGCAAAGACAGTGGGGCGCGATTTTTCGTGCGGCCTCCATGGATATATTGATCCCAACCAGCCCAGAAGCTAGGAACAATAAAGTGACAAGCACTAGCTACCGAGGACCACTCTGCCTACGCCCATCTCTCAGACGGGAAAACTAATTTCCCTAACGTCTTCTAGTGAAAGAGGACCTCAAGAAGTCGTGTTTTTAGTAGGCACTTTGGTTTGCCACGATAGCAAAGGACGCTAGCCGGCCATGTCCTCTCTCTACTCCCGTTGTATCATCTAAAGATCTTACGATTTACAATAACTGGCCTGTCTGATTAATTGTTAATCGAAATTCAGAAACGGACTTTGGAGTAATTAGGTGGGGTCGTGATGCTGATTCCCGTGCAGTGTAATTGCCCAGTAATTTCAATCGCAACGGAATGTTGGCTTTTTAATGAGTTTTTTCGGCCGTCTGCTAAAGCCAAACTCAGTGCATAAAAATTGCTTAAGTAGTATGAATTCTGCCATTTATTCTCGATATCCACTTTAACTTAGAGGTATTTTATAGTAAAAATGCAAAAACCTTTCTTTATTGTAGCCATTTAATGAAAATTACACCTTTTTAAAACGTCATACTCTTAGGGAGAGTATATTTAGTAAAAAAATATTTTCAACCCCTTGTATAGGTTTAGTCCTGTTTTTAAGGTTTCAAATCTACATGCTACATACTTTATATGTAAGAAACATCACGCATTTCCAAATGCTTTTAAGACATTACATAGGGCTCCTCAAATTTTGTAGTAGACGTAGACCATGTGGCAAAGTGCGGAAACAGCGTCACTCCACAGAAGGATTGGATACTATTTGAATTGACATATCACAGTCTTAAAGAATTCAAAATCACGCAATTTTTGCATTCGAACGTATTCCTGTTTCAAGTAGAAAATATGAAGAGGGCGTTATTTGCTGACAAAAGAGTACAATAAACAATGTGTTTGTACATGCTTCTAATAAAATATGTTTACAGTTATAAAGTCATCGAAAATCAACTGGAAAAACTCGTTCTACATTAGTAACCATTTTTTGCCGAGTGTAGTTTTTTCAGACGGCCGGAAAGAGGCTCATTAAAAGGCCGTCACCCTAGGGTGGCTGAAATATCTCTATATTTTGCTGCTTGGCAGTCAGTACGGCGAACTACCCAAAGTATTCCTTTCTAATCAAAAACACATTTCAGAATTTTGACCAACGTTTCATGAGATAGGTCAGCTATTGTAAGTAACGTTTTCTGGTACCTGGTAACTGCTGTCTAATTTTTCCCGGACTGTTTACAACGCAATACCGTTAAGTAGAACAAAAGAGAATATTGTCCTGTATTCGACGTTAAGTCGCTCATTTTGCTGCTCAATCGTCGACTTGACTTTTCGTTGACCTTTGCATCTTATTGCTCTCCTATAATGTCCGGATTTGTCCCAAAAACAATACCTGCTGTTTCTGCTCATATGCATCAGCAAACTATCTAGGCAGGTCCGCCAACTAGTAGCGGCTTGGCCTGTGGCCCCATCTACGCGTGCTAAACACGCGCGCGGAGGCAGCCCAGCGCTCGCACAGACGTCCAACGCATGGGCTGTGTCGGTCCCCTCTTGGTTGAAAGCAACAAGCAACATTCTGCAGAAGAGGACAACTGACAAGAAGAAGAAGAAGAGGGACTGCAATGGATATTTTTGGCTAATTAACCGTCATCAGTCAGCCTTGAGCCCCGAATCCGCATTCTGTTGGTCAGAAATCCAACGCTCTAACCAATGAGCCAGGCGCTCGTTGCCCTGTCGATTGCGACTGGATATAATAAGTATGGTAGGGTACAATCATCAATCGCGTTACGTGGTCTACTTGAACCGTTCTTCCTAGAGCCTCGCAAAACGACTATTAGTATACGTGTGCCTCTCAGACGCACCACGCGGTAGATGCGCTAGACCAACACGTGGTTTAGATCGGGATGTGACAGGCATCACTGGGAATGCGCACCCATAACAAATACGAAAATTGGACGTGTGGGGGTTAGCCACAAGTCTAGGCGCACGCCACGCCGAAGCGTACCCTCCCTCCCCGTTTTTGCTTTTTGATGTGTAAATTCCTGGTCAGTGTACGTCACGCACTAGGGAGTGTGGTAGCACGCCTAGGTGCGGGTTTTCGCCGTACCAGTCGCCTGCGCCGTCTCCCACCGTTGATCTTCTTGACTCTGTCTTGACACCGGGTCTAGGTACGAAAGGAGGAGAGGTTGAGCTACAGTATGTGGTTTAACTCATGAAATGGCAACCGAAATTTTGAAATTCGTTTTCGTTTGGAAAAAATTAATTAAGTAGGGTTGTAAAACTAGTCAGCCTGTAACGTGGTTCTATAATCCGTCAGTTACCTCAGGATGCCGGCTTTCGAATGAACTTCTTTCTGACTGCATGCAGAAACTACACTCTGTAAAAAATGGCTACGTAAGTAGCATGAATTTTTCTCATTGATTTTCGATTCCCTTAAATATTCAATTATACTTCTTGCAAAGCATGCACAAAATATTCAGTCTTTTGCTTATTCAGTACAGAATCACGTCTTCTCCCAATTTTATACTCGAAGAAAGGGTATAATACGGCATCAAAATAGTTTCTAATTGTGAAATTTTTTATATCGTGAAATGGCCGTTCATAAAACGTTATGACCCTGCATTTACCAATGCGGCTTGCAAAGTTAACAATATGGCTCAACTCAACTGTCAAACTTTATTAAATTCATATCGTCTTCTCTTAATACTATAGAGAAATATATGGTTTTCCGCACGCGGAAAATATACGGTTTGTAGGTTGGAAACCCTGAATGCAAGTTTGACGGTAGGGCGGGTGTAAAATTATTATGAAATTGGAAACGTGTTTGAAAACCGAATTATACCCTCCCTTCGAGTATAAAATTGGAAAAGGACGTCATTTTCTACCGAATGTTTTTCATGAAATATAATTGGGCATTTAGGGAAATCGAAAATCAATGAGAAAAATCATGCCACTTAAGTAGTCATTTTTTCAGAATGTAGTTTTTCTATGCAGCCGGAAGGAAGTTCTTTCGAAAGCCGGCATCCTGAGATAACTGAAATATTATAGAATTATGTTGCAGGCTGACTACTTTCACAAACCTACTTAATTAATCTTTTCGAAACAAAAACGCATTTCGGAATTTCGGTTGACATTTTATGAGTTAGCCCATCTTCTGTAGAAGCAGCGCAAATCTACTAAATGAATTTGCGTGCAAGTCATCCTCCCTGCTCTCAACCTGCTGTGGAGCACGTGGTGGACATCGTCATGCAAATGTAAAATAAACTGTAAAACGTTTCTCGAATATGCAGGCAAATCAGGATTAATCTTTTCGGCCTTCGTGCAGCTTTAATTCTCAGCAAAAGGCCGAGGAATTATCGAACTTGTAAAATCAATTCACTGGGGTCAAAACTGTCGCCTTAATACAAAAATGAGGATACCTATCGACAAAAACAACAAACACTTACGTTTGTGCCCACCGCGCCATAACTCCTTGTCTTCTCCAATTCATACCGATCGCTGTCATAAAGGGGTACATTATTCTCCTGCGGATCATACACACCCTTGAACCAGTAAAGGTCTGGGTCTGGGTAGCCATTGACGATGCATTCCATCGTCACGTCGTAGTTTCCATCACGAGCCTAAACAAAAACAAAAGCATTCTTATCACAGTAGACCTCAATTCACCCGATCGGATCGATGCAACTATCCCAAACTATATCTCCGTAAATTCAAAAAAGACCTCCAAGACCATATCTGGTCAATTTATTCTTCGGCTGCTATGTCTACGTGGGAAGTCCTGGTGGTAGCAAGTGTAGTGTGTAGCGCATGTGCAGTATGTAGTACGGATGTAGACCGAACTCATACTTGTCGCACACTCACCTCACGCATTGTCCTGGTCGGTCACTTGCGAATCCCTCGCGCAGAGACCCGCGAACCAGTGCCTGGAACACCGCCATATGTACACTCGCCGCATCTGCGTCGGTCGTCCTCACTGCACCCACATATTCACTCATCGCACGGGTCTATCACGACACATGCGCATTCACGAAAACCTGCGGTGGACAAACGCCGGCTACACCGCACCATCACACATTCCCCCACCAGCATCCGCACCTCCCAACACCACAAACACCCAAGTGCCACCTACTGCCCAAGTGGGAATTCGGGTTCTCGGCTCCTTCTCCATGCGGCTGCATGTGTGATCCGAGTTTAAGACTATCACGTTGCGCGGGCTCCGTGGCATGGAAGGCCACCGACTGACGCCCTGACTCGGTACACGCAGCCCTCCTTGTTGTGTATGTTTGTGTGAAATGGTGGTCTGAAAGCCAGACTGTCACAGCTCCGTCTTAACAGGTCTCTCACGCATGTTGCGAGTGTATGGGCTTTATGAGTAATGCTTCTCACTCGACGGTCGTTTGGTTACCTAAACTCGAAGGGTAACGGTCCAGGCTAAATGCAGGACCGCCTGTCGCCCTTCTAGGTCAAAAGGTCTGAAAGCTTGTGCTATGCCAGTATCAGCAAGCCATGGTTCTCGCAGTCTGCTATGCTGACACCCGGTTCTCCGCCGGTAGATGCGCCTGCGCTCCCGCTGGGTATACAGATGGTGGACATGACTGCGCAGTCATCATCCGCGTCCTTCTGACCCCTGGTGGGGTGTTGTTGTTGCTGGTGAAAAACCTGGTCAAGTGTATGTTGTGCACCTGGGGGGAGGGGTTTAGTGGCACGCCTAGGTGCGGGCTCGACCGTGCCATCCACCTGCACCCTCCACAGCCCCCTGTCTTCTTGACTCTAGGTCAGATGTGCTTATGGTGAGCAAGGCTGCCCAGTCATAATCCTCGTCCTTCTGGCCTGTCGTGGTGTTGTTGTTGGTTAAAATCCTGGCAAATTGCTGTGTGAGGCAGGGATTGTGCAGTGGAGCGCCAAGGTGCAGACTCCGTCGCGCCATTCTCTTCCGTCTGCCCTATCTCCGGCCTTTTTGACTCTGTCTCAACAGGGGCTCAGATGGGGGAGGAGAGAGTGCCATATATGCAGCGCAGGTCTACACTCCCTATAAACTAAGTCACGCACAAGTCGCCGTGCCTGCTTCACCTTACTGTGGAGCACACGGTTGACATCGTCAGATGCGACGGTCAAACTGTCAGGGATGTACAGTTAGAGGGCACCCGCGCAGGGGTTGCGACTGCTCCTCACGGTTTTTAGCTGGCATCCAACTCTCCCCTGTGGTTCCCTGAAGCTAGACTCTGCCTAGCGGCCACACGCCGGTAACCACCTCTACCGGTGGATTAAATCAGATGAGGGTGTCAGGTGTTGTGGGTGCCCCTACATCCCATAATTCTGCTGCCGATACCATCCCTCCCCCCCCTCCCACCCACCCCCTTCCCTCTCCCTCTCTTCCCCTTTTCCTCTCCACTCCAAAAAGTCTTGCGCAGAGAGCGACATGCAATCCCATAGGCGGTCCAAGCTAAATTGGGTCGCTACCCCCGCTAAACCAAGTCGGGACCCATGATTTTGTTTGGCAGCCGTCTGGGATGTCTGAGCGGCCCTGTTTAGGGACGACATTGCTTACCCACTCGCGGGGGAAAGAGGCGAAAAATGTGTCCGAAACAAATGCCGAGACCGTGCAGACCATAATTAGCAGATAAACCACTCACGGACAAAACAGACAACGACCTCGGTCCCAATCCCGGCCCCACCCCGCGCGCTGCTTGAACGAGTCCGCTCGCACTGGCTGCCTCGAACGGAGTGCTTGGTCCCCGTGGAATCAGCGACTGCAACGACAGCCGCCTCCTTCTTTCGCCAACCTGCACAGCACACCATCCTCTCCTAGTCAACACCTTCTTTCGCGGAGGAAGGCGACGTGGATTCATCCCCCCCCCCTCCTTCCCGATGGCGGCTCTGGCACCTGCTGGACTACGTTCTCGTCCAGAGGCGAGATCAACAGAACGTGCTGATGGCCGGGACTATCTGTGAAGCCGACAACAGCTGGACGGACCACTACCTCATCTCCAATATGAGGCTCCGACCACAACTCCGCAGGAGACCATAGGGTAAGCGACCACCAGGAAAGGTAAATACTGTCCTATTGAATTTGCCTACCCACCACTCCGATTTCAGCAATCATCTATCCTGGTAGGAATGCCGGTCCCGGGCGACGACCGTGTGAACTCCTAAATGCCATCTACTCCACCACCCTGGACGTCCTCGAACTCGCACGCCGTCTACACCAGGGCTGATTCGACGTCAACGCCGCAGACATCAGCAACCTGCTCAACAAAAAGAACAGGCTGCACAAGGCCTACATCGACCGCCGGGCCGACGCTAGCAAAGTGGCCTTCCTCAGATGTCGCCGTCCTGTGCAGCAACGGCTGCGGGAAATGCAGGATGCCTGAATGGCTTTCAAGGCTGGGTTGTGTGGACTGCAATGAGACAAATGACTTCTTCGTCCCCAATCAAAGCGTTCGGTGTCACTTCTCAGCTCGGGGGAAACAGCATTTCTGACGGAAAAGTCGCAAAGTCTGAAGCGCTGGGCCGAGCATTTCTGAAGTGTCCTTAACGGCCCATGTACAGTCTCCGACGCCGCCGTCAATCGGCTGTCCCAAGTCAAAACAAACAACTGCCTAGAACTTCCGCTCTCCCTTCCAGAAACCATCCGAGCCGTGCATCAAATCTCCAGTGGGAAGGCACCAAGCTAAGACGCGATCCCGGTTGGCGTTTACAGCACGACGGTTCCTGATTGCTGGAAAAAACATTAAACACTATTCCAGGAGATGCGCTGCTAAGGACAGGTTCTTCAGGATTTCAAGTACGCGACCGCCGTCCATCTCTACAAGCGAAAAAGATACCAATAACTCTTTGATAGCCACAGAGGAATTTCGCTGTTCAACATTTCCAAAAAGGTCTTTGCTCGCACTCTTTTCGACCGACTTACCGGACTTCTCCCAGAAGGCTAATGTGGCTTCTGACGACATCACGGCACGGCTGACATGGTCTTCGTATCTCGCCAGTCTCAGTCGAAATGCCAGGAAATGCAAACTCACCTCTCCACTACCTTCGGGAACCCGACAAAAACCTTCGAAATAGTGAATCGCGATGGACTCCGGATAATGGACTCGGGATAATGGCGCGCTTCACGGGCAATTGGACCGTCTTAGAAACATTCGCAGTGACCAACAGAGTGAAGTAGGACTTAGTCATCGCCCCTACCTTCCTCACCCTCATGTCCACTGTCATTCTGATAAACACCTGTCGTGATGAGCACCTCGGAATCCGCATCGCCTCCAGGAACAACAGTCACTTTCTCTGTAGCCGGCGCGTGTAGGCTCAATCACGTCTTTCCACGACTACTGTTCAGGATTTGCTCTTCGAGGAGGACTGTGTCCTCAACATCGTGACAGAGGCAGATGAGCAACCTCTTCGCCTCCGAATACGCAAACTTCGGACTGACCACTAACACGGATAAAACGGATGCTATACATTAACTGCCGTCCAACACCGCACACAAGGTTTCTGAAATCCACGTCAAAGACATCCATCTGAAAACCGTGGACAACTTCGCCTACTTTGGCAGCACAACAACACTGCATCAAGATTGACGAGGAAGTGGCTCATCGGATCTCGAAAGCCAACTAGACCTTTGGCTGAATGCAGAACGCAGTATGGGATCGCCACGATCTCCACCTCGCCACCATATTCAAAGTTTAGAAGGCTGTCATCTCGACGACGCCGCTGAACTGGGCAGAGACCTGAACAGTCTACGAGAAACAAGCGCGAAAACGCAATCACTTCAACATCAGCTGTTTTCGGACAATCCTAAAATTAAGGTAACAGAAGGGGATCCCGGACAAGGAAGTTTTGGAACGGACCAGACTCCTTGGTTTCCACACCATGCTGAATAGACGGAAACTGCGATAGGAAGACTGGTGAGGATGAGCGATGAACAACTACCCGAACGACTCTTCTACGGAGACGTCGCTATGGGTGCTAGCCGACAAGGAAGTCAAACATCCCGCTACATGGACACCCAGATAAATGCCCAAAGCGCTTACAAACCAAATCGAAACCGGAGAAGCCCTCCACGGGACCGATCGGCCTGGAGAAGGGTGATGAAGATCGGAGCAACAGTTTATGAAGCCAACCGGCTTTTTGCTGTCGGAACCAGAGGAGCGATTCACAAGTCTCAAGCTTCTCAGATCCACAACGCCAACAGCCGACCTCTTCCAACATGCCCACACTTCCAACGAATTTTTCACGCGCAGATTACTCACGATGGACATTTCAGAACCCAGTACAATTACAACTCAGCAATCCCAACTGCTGTCTCTACAACTGCCCCCATCGTCACCCCTACAGTGACATTTACGGCACCCGCGACAACGACCTCCCTCACCACCAATGATCACACTCCTGATGCCCCGCTGTCCCCGATCAGCTCCATAATCTCCGCCACAAATCCACCGATGACGGCGACGACTACCAACTCTCCAATGAACGCCATCGGTGATAACACTCCCACTGCTTCGTCAACCGCTATTCCCACCAACAGCTATGAGGATTCTGTCCCCACTTGTCCTTATTGTGGTCACGCATTCACTCCACGCATTGGCCTGATCAGTCACATGAGTATGCGCAACAGCGAAATTCACCGCAATATCGGCACACCAAGCATACCTTGCCCATCCAACAACTCTCCCATCCCCAACCCTGTGGACTCCCCACCCACTAGCGCGACCACCATTAGCATCACAGCAACCCCAACCGACTCAACCTCTCCCACCCTACCCTACCGGCGAATGTGCACGTCACGCGCCGGCCTGGTGGGCCACTTTCGAATCCATCGCCCAAAGACTGACAGACTAGTGCCTGGGGCACCAACATACGCCCATCGCCATAGCCTCAGTTGCTCATAATGCCCTCGCATATTCATCCGTCGCATAGGCCTACCCAGTTATATGCTCTCCCACGAAAATTTATGGTAAATCAATGGAGATTAGACAACGCCAGACACAAATGAACACCTCCAACACCACGCTCTTTGAATCCTCCCCGATGTAGCTTCTCAGCTACATGCAAGATCCTGCGTGAAATCCTGTTGTATGCACATGGGGAGCAGGTCGTGTGTTTAGCACACACAGACGGGTCATCTTTAACTCTAAGTTGGTTGGCTGGCCCGGGCAGTCGACTGGTGCATGGGATAAGGTAGATCAAGTAAGGTCGCTTCACCGTAAACAATCTTACGCACTTTAAACCATCACAGCGTGCTAAAAACCAGGACAGCCAACTAACGGGATAACTGGTCCTCCTTGGAGGAGGGAGAATCAGGCTGAAGTATCTCCCATTTAATGTGGCCTTTATGGGACTCCCACTCGGTTTTGATCCGAACCGACCCCCCTCTTTTTTGTGTAAGATCCCGGTCAGTTTTAAGCATTTTGAACCACGGGGTGTGGATTGGTCCGCCTAGGTGCGGTCTTCTGCTGTGCCAGCCACCGGCGCCCTCTTCCGACTCCGGTCTTCTTGACTCTGTCATGACAATGGACTCAGTCGGGTGAGGGAGGAGGGAGTGCGATAGACAAAGCGAAAGTCTACTATCATTATAGACTAATCCACGCGCAAGTCACCATCCCTGACCCACCCTGCTGTGAAACGAGAGTTGAACTGTCCGCATGTTTGCCCATTAACCGCTGCAGTTAACTGGCACCTTCTCCTCTCCCTGACGGTGTAAAAATTACCACCACTAAGAATTCAAATGCCCTGGTCCTGGCGACGAATGTGTTCTGCCATAATTTGACGTGATCGGAGTTAGACTGCAGATGAGGAGAGCATGCAAATTGCACCGGGGTTAACTTGTGCGAACGGAAAGTCCCCTTAATGAAAATAGACGTGAAGTATAACCAACACTGATACTGGAATTCCTCCCGTCTACCCTCTTTTTTCAAGTTTATCACGTTATTTTCACCGTTTAAGTTCTTTGCTGGTTCTCACATTATGGATTCTTGGTTAAGTTTTTTTCGCTGCAACCATTAAGTGCTAAAGTATCTGGTATCGGCTGCTCCATGTCGTGTCCAAAAACAACCAGAAAACAACAACATCCTAATAGCATCAACAGTCTTAGAAAGCCTATTTTAGCTTGAAATACAAACCACGCCCATACAAGTAGGATGCTGTAGCACCGTTTTCTGTGCCGGACTCGTAGAAATGCGACCGTGTCAACAGGCCATCTGGAAAGAGAGAGATTTCTTAGTTGTGCCTATCAAATGCACTCACGGGGGGCTTTTGTGAGTGCTCTCTAACGCTGGTGTTGGGGAAGAGGGTCAAACAACAAAACATCTCTTAAAAAGTAACCTTGCACGGTCTTTTGTTCGTTTCTGAGTGACGTCTATGTTCAGAGCGCCAACCAGTTTGAAACAATCTCATATTTGCATATAATTTACTGATAAGCGCAAAACGTTATCTAGAAATCTTCCACGCCCTAACGCCATGGCTCTTCATCAACCACCATCCCAAATCGCATTTTTGAGATGATGATGATAATTTTTGAAATAATATATATGCAGTGCGTGACCGATCTCATGAAATGTTTGCCAAAATTCTCAACTTCGTTTTCGATTAGGAAGGATTATTAAGGTGGTATTGTAATATGAATTAGCATGTAGCATGATCCTATAGTATTTCGGGCTGGCAAGGATATCGGCTTTTGAATGCACTTCTTTCTGACTTCCCGCAGAAACCGTACTTGCTAAAAAAATGACTACTTAAGTAGCTTGAATTTTTCCCATTGATTCTCGATGGTCATAGAAATTCAAATATACCTTATGGAAAACGTGAACAAAACTATGCTTTGTTTTATTTGTTTTGAAAGAAAACCACATTTTCTTTATATTTTATACCCCAAGGAAAGTTACCTTTCGGTTTTAAAGAAGTTTCCCAATTCCCGAATATAGTGAGTGACCTATCCCATGAAATGTTGACTGAAATTCTGAAATGCGTTTTCGATTAGGAAGGATTGTTTAGGCGCGGTTGTAATACTGATTATATTGCGCCATAATCTTATAACATTTCGGACTCGGTAGGATGTCCAATTTTGGATACACTGCTTTTCAATCTCCTGTAGAAACTGTGCTTGGTAAAAATGACTACTTAAGTAGCATGCATTTTTCTATTGATTTTCGATGGTCTTGCAAATTCAGATATATCTTATAGAAACCATCAACAAAACATGCTTTCAGTCAATTAATAGAGAATCACGTCTTCTTTATAATTTTTATTCAAGGAACGAGTATAATTAGTTTTTAAAAAATTTTCTAATTATGAGATTTTTTAAGACCGCGCATTGTCCATCCACATAGCATCGTACCTGGACGTTTACGAAAGCTCCTCGTAAAATGTACAACATAGTCCGGATCCACTGCAAAATTTTATAAACTCTATATAGCATCTTCCTAAAGACATAGAGGATTATATGATTTCCCTTACGTGGAAAGCACGCACCTTGTAAACGGAAATCGCTAAACGCTAATGCAATGGCAGATCTGGGTCAAAAGTTTTCGGGAATTGGAAAACTTTTTTAAAAACTTATTATACTCCTTCCTTGAATAAGAATTATAAAGAAGACATGATTCTCTATTAAATGACTGAAAGAAAGCACATTTTTGGTGATGGTTTTTATAAGATATAGTTGAATTTGCAAGACCATCGAAAATCAATGAGAAAATGCATGCTACTTAAGTAGTAATTTTTTGCCAATTACAGTTGCTAAAGGAGATTAAAACGGTGTATTTAAAAGCTGACATCCTGCCAAGTCCAAAATATTGTAGGCTTATGCCGTAAGATAATCAGTATTACAACCGCACCTAAGTAATCCTTCCTAATCGAAAACGCATTTCAGAATTTCAGTCATTTCATGAGATAGGTCACTCACTGTAATTGTGAGTTTGATCAGTTGTTGCACTAGCATTTAGTGATTTTAGTCTACAAGCCGCATGCCTTCCGCGTAAGGAAAATCGTATATTCCTCTCTACCTTTAAGAAGATACTGTATAGAGTTCATAAAATTTTGCAATGGATACGGGCTGTGTTGTACACTTCACAAGGAACATTGGTAAACGGACACGTACGACGCTGTATATATGGACATCGCACTTTTTTAAAACTTTTTTTAAATCCGAAAGATGACCTCCCTAAGGGTATAAAATATAAAGGCAATGTGGTTTTCTACAAAAACAAGTAAAACAAAGCATAGTTTTGTACTTGTTTTCCATGAGATATATTTGAATTTTTATGACCATCGAGAATCAACGGGAAAAATTCATGCTACTTGAGTAGTCATTTTTTAGCAATTACGGTTTCTGCGGGAAGTCAAAAAGAAGTGCATTCAAAAGCCGACATCCTGGCCAGTCCGAAATACTATAGGATCGTGCTACATGATTGGTAATATTACAATGCCACCTAACTAATCCTTCCTAGTCGAAAACGCATTTCAGCATTTCGACTAACGTTTCATGAGATCGGTCATGCACTATATATCAGCGAGGAGGGACGACAGAGAATGCGGGTAGATTGATACAGTACTGTTTCGGGCTTATTCTGCCTTCATTTAGCCAATCCTAATTTTGACCAGTAGTTGGGACCAGAAAACACACATGCGCACAGACGTACCTGACGCCGTTGGTCTACCACTGGGGTCTACCAGATGGGTTATAAGCACTTCATCGAACCGAAGTTCATCAGTGCCTCGCCACCTATATATATATCTCATTTTTGCGAATAGGCTTTTTGGAAGACAATGTTTTTAGAAGATGATTGCAGGTACTGAGGGTTTCATCAATCTTCACCCGATAACATTAGTCAAAAACCCCACGAAAACTCTATCGGCGCGAACGACGACTTCCACAGCGTATCTCACGGATTGATGCGGCGTCGATACTTGCGCGTTGAATTAATTTATAGTAAGCAGACTTGCATAGCATTTGCTACATTTCGGCCTTCCCACTTAGATGGCTCCGACGGCAAGACGATGTCACGGAATGCGCAGACGCAATGGCTGACAAGACGAAACGACCGCCTACGCGTGCCACAAACGATCCAGCCCTCGCAACATGTGCCAGACTTTTATGAGGGTACCTCGGAGTTTACATCAATGTGTTTGTCACACAGGTCACGTCACGGAAAGAGCCATTGTAGTCTGACTGTCAGTCTTGAGGAGGACCGTTTTATCCCATACGGTTGGCAACCTTCTAATCCACGACGTTTTAGTCCTTTATGATATATCCAAGCACGTCTGGCTTTTGACGGTAAGGAATGCGCCGATGTGCCTTAGGGATGAGACCTCCAGTGCCGTGCTCTCTCTCATTCTTTCTCTCTCTGTTTACTTTGCATTTTTGCACGGTGAGGCCAGGTAAAAATTTGACATTTTGGCCGTTTCTTTCGCATTCCTAAACAATACTAATATATTTCTACTGGAAACGTAAGAACGTGCCTTTTTCTATACATTGAGGCCATTTTCACTGTTTTTGCTCGCTTTTAGACGCCGTTCTTTGATCATTAATGCATGGCAGAGCGCCAATATCAATATTGATATTTTGCTGAAACTACTAGTGTACTGCTCGTTCTATTTCTAAATAAGGTATGCACAGAAGCTAAACTACACGACAAGTAGTGTTTCTGATGTTTAAAGCTAGAAATTACCGTTCGGTGGTGGTCATTTATGTAACATCAGGTAGAATTTTCCAAACGGCAAAACAATTTCAGCCGGAATCCCTATCTGCGTTATTACTGCACTTTAGGGCTCCAAATCGCACAGATCTGCTGATTTGACATCTAGGAATTAATAAAATTTCTGGTTTTCTTAAAATAACCTTTGTGTTAGCAGGTTGACCACCATGGTTAACATCGGACATAAAATAAATTTTCAA